AAAAAAAAAAAAAAAAAAAAAAGCTCATGCTTGTGATATTAGTCCACATCTTTTTTTGTAACGGAATGGTCTTCTGGAAGGTTATTGTAGTGTTACAATGATCTCATATGTCTTACTTAAATTTCACCTCATATTTGTATTATAATCTTTAATTTTTCCCCTGCAAAATATCAATGATTTAACATGATTTCCCCCTTCTTTGAACTTCAGTTCATGTAATAGCAGAATCACATAAAGAGCATGATTAAAAGCACAGCAGGCCTTGACATCACAGACTTGGGTATGGATTCTTCTGTGCTGCTGCTGCTTCTTCTTTTTTGTTTTTAATTTTTTTTAACATTTATTTATTTTTGAGACAGAGAGACAGAGCATGAACAGGGGAGGGTCAGAGAGAGAGGGAGACACAGAATCCAAAACAGACTCCAGGCTCTAAGCCGTCAGCACAGAGCCCGACGCACGGGTCAAACTCACGGACCCTGAGATCATGACCTGAGCCGAAGTCGGACGCTTAACCGACTGAGCCACCCAGGCACCCCATCTTCTTTTTTTTTTTAATGTTTATTTACTTTCAAGAGAGAGAGAGAGAGAGGGAGGGAGAGAGAGACAGAGCACATGTGGGGGAGGGGCAGAGAGAGAGGGAGACACAGAATCTGTGCTGTTAGCACAGAGCCTGACGCGGGGCTCGAACCCAGGAACCGTGAGATCATGACTTGAGTCAATGTCAGACACTTAATTGACGGAACCACCCAGGCGCCCCTTCTATGCTTCTTATTAGCTTTGTGAAAGTGCATAAGCTTTGTCAACACAAATTGAACAAAGCTTTTAGAATCTCTGAAAGTAAGAAAGAGTTTATTCGAGCCCAAGTTAGGACAGCTGCCTGGGAAACACACTCTTCATGGGGGAGAAAGTGCTCTAGAGAATGAGCAGTTCTTACAGGGTTATATACGTTTCTACATTTTGTAAAAGCTCGAAAGATGATAGATTAGCATATAGGCAGGAATCACGAGGAATGCAGGAGCAGGAGCATTGACAATGTGATTTTCATTAGGTTACTCGTTCTCAAAGCAGATGTACAACGTGTGCATGGCAGGCCATTAATCAGCCTTTTGGTTTGAACAAAATTTATGAACAGTCATGCTAACTTAGAAATATAACAGGGCTTCCTTTGTATATCTGGCCTTTGGAGAGTGTTTCTCTTATCAGCTCTCTGAACTTTCATTTTCTTTTCTGTAAAATGGGGATACTCTTACCCTCGCGTTTGGAGGTTGTTGTGAATGTAAAGCGAGATCACTTGTGTGAAGCACATCGTGGTGTCTGACACGGAGGAAGTACTAGAGAGTCAATGACTGCTGTCATTACAATTACCCTCAACCCTTATTTCCAGCTAGATTTTAAACAACCAACTTTTCAGTTTCTTAAGAATCTCTCAAGCAGATTGATTAGATTACTGTCTAATACATACTTGTGATTCGTTGTTTTTTTTAAAGTTTATTCATTTATTTTGAGAGAGAGAAAGCACGAGCAAGGGAGGGGCAGAGAGAGAGAATCCCAAGCAGGCTCTGCACTAATAGCGTGGATTCCAACGTAGGGCTCAAACTCACGAACCGTGAGATCATGACCTGGGCTGAAATCAAGGGTTGACACTTAACTGACTGAGCCACCCAGGCACTCCAATTGGTTGATTTTCAGTAGCTTTTGTAGGAAAGCTATATGAGTTGGGATGCTTTAAGTTGCAAGTAACAGGAAAAAAAAAAAAACAAAACAGAAAATCTAACTCAAACTAACTTTAACAATAAGGAGAAATATTGGCTCATGGAAATGAAAAGTTCAAAATTGGGTCACAGGTGTGGGTTTGGTTCAACCTGCAGCAGCTGCTGCTTCTTTTCCTTCTCCTTTTTATTTTATTTTTTGAGAGACAGAGCATGAGTGGGGGTGGTCAGAGAGAGAGGGAGACAGAGGATCCGAAGCAGGCTCTCCGCTGACAGCGGCAAGCCCTATGTGGGGTTTGAACTCACGACCCACGAGATTATGGCCTGAGCTGAAGTCAGACACTCAACTGACTGAGCCACCCAGGTGCCCCTCTCCTTTTTCTTTTTTTTAAATTTTTTTTAAACTTTTTTTAACGTTTATTTTTGAGACAGAGAGAGACAGAGCATGAATAGGGGAGGAGCAGAGAGAGAGGGAGACACAGAATCTGAAACAGGCTCCAGGCTCTGAGCTGTCAGCACAGAGCCCGACGCGGGGCTCGAACTCACGGACTGTGAGATCATGACCTGAGCCAAAGTCGGACGCCCAACCGACCAAGCCACCCAGGCGCCACTTTTTTAAATTTT